TGGAAAAGACCCTGATGTTAGGAAAGACTGAAGGCAGGAGAAGGGGACAACAGAAGATGAGATTGTTGGATGGCATCACTGACTCATTGGACATGAGTTTGAGTAAACTCCCTGAGTTGTGATGGACAGGGAGGCCTGGTGTGCTGCGGTTCATGGGGTTGCAAAGAGTCAGACATGACTGAGGAACTGAACTGAACTGAATGTTAATAGGAGAAAGCTAATCTTACAATCTTTGTTCCTTCTTTTTTTTAACTCTAATAAAATCTATTGTCATTTTTCTAATTATTATAAAAGTTACACATACAATATATGAAAATTTATTAAACATAAAGAAAGAAAATTTTTAAAAATCATCCCTAATTCCTCCTTCTAAAACTCCTACCACTGTTGACAATTTTCTATATCTTTCCATTCTTTTTACTGTATGTGTGTGTATGTGCATACGTCCTGGATTGAACTGTGTCTCCTGAAAAAGATATATGCAAGTCCTAATCCCCAAAACCTGTGAATGGGACTTTAGAAATAGGGTCTTTGCAGATGTGATCAAGCTAATATGAGGTCATGCTGTATTAGGATGGGCCCTAAATTCAATGGCTGGGGTCCTTATAAGAAAAGCCAAATTTGGACACAGAAACACAGGGGGAAATGTGAAGATGGGGGCACAGAATGGAGTTATGCTGTTACAAGTCAAAAAATGCCAAGCACTACAAACCACCACCAGAATCTGGAGGAGGCTAGGGTGGATTCTTTCCTACAAATTTCAGAGGAAACATGGCCCTGTGGACACCTTGATTTTGGACTTCTAGCCTCCAGAACGGTCAGAGACTAAATGTCCATTGTCCATCGGAAGCCACGCCAAGATCTAAACTTTCTATTTTGCTTCTGAAATTGCATCCCTCCTCTCATAATCTGTACATATATTCCCTCATAGCTCAGTTGGTGGTGGCTTCCATGATGGCTCAGAGAATAAAAGCGTCTGCCTGCAATGTAGGAGACGTGAGTTCGATCCCTGGGTTGGGAAGATCCTCTGGAGAAGGAAATGGCAACTCACTCCAGTACTCTTGTCTGGAAAATCCCATGGACAGAGAAGCCTGATAGGCTACAGTCCATGGGGTTGCAAAGAGTCAGACATGACTGAGCAACTTCACTTTCACTTTTCAGCTCAGTTGGTAAGAATCTGCCTGCAATGCAGGAGACCCTAGTTCAATACCTGGGTTGGGAAGATCCCCTGGAGGAAGGGATAGGCTACCCACTCTAGTATTTGGCCTGGAGAATTCCATGGACTGTATAGTCCATTGGGTCACAAGGAGTCGGACACCACTGAGCGATTTTCACTTCACTTCACTTCATGATCAAAAGAGATCCTCTAAAATATTCCTGACTTAACCCTCTAGAGTTACCCTAGCAATAAAAATGTTAAGCAAAAAGAGAAAAAACTGGATATGAGTGGGGAAAAATAGAAACAGACAGGTTTTTAATCATATCCCTCAAACCACAACTGTTGTCACAAGCTAACCTTGGTTTCTTTACATACCAAGAGGTAGCCTCGTTCTCTTCTGCCTCCGCTGAGCAGGAGCTTCGTGGCGTTCTGTGGGGTCTTGGGCTGGTGGCTCGCTGTCCTCAGGTGGCCTGTGAGCAGCAGTCTGAACAAGACCTTCCGAAGCAGCACTGGCTAGAGAGGAACAGGGTAGGGGGAAACGGGGATAACTTGAGCAGAGACTACTAACTCTCAGAAATACGGGGGAAGGGGGACTGCAATGTTTCCTATATAATATCCTCTTCTCTCACAGAACTAACTGTGCCCCAGATCTTGATTTCCCCCCTCCTCACCTGTAACTTTGGGCTTCAAGTTGAAAAAACAAAAGAAATGAGGGAGCAAGGAAGACTGAGGAAGAAAACCTGGCGACTAGAAAGAAGAACAAAAGACGGGGAGGAGGAAAGTCACTTCTGAGCTTTCAAAAAAGTGAAAACATGATAGAAGCCATCACCATAGGAACTCTTACTTCTCTTATGCCTTGAGGGTTATCAGCCTCTATTAACAGTTTAGTCCTTCATTTATAAATTAACACATGATAAAGTCATCATGGATAACTGCAGTTAACAGATAACTTATCAATCTCTCCCCTCATTAAATCTTTGAGCAGATTTTGACACATTTTAGCAGATCTGAATTCTACTTCATACCTTCCCTTGCCAGTTTCTTCACAAAAGAATACAGATGAGTGAACAAATGAACAGATTAGTGTATTAGTGTATTAGTATTATCAATAGTACTGAGCGAAATGGAAACTAAAATAAGCTACTTTTTGTCCACTAGGTTAACAAAAAAAAATTTTCAAGTTGATATTTTCCAGCATTCTCAAGGACTTAGCAAATGTGACACTCAAACTCTGTTGCTGGTACAAAGATAACTAAAGCTCTGTTAAAGACAATTTAGTAGAAACTTATATTAATAATGCACAGGTCCTTTCATCAATTTCACTGTTAGCAATCCACCTTACAGAAATATCTCTTCTTCCCCATCATCCACTATTTTATGTGGAAAAGCTGCAAGTTGTTGGAGTGAAAAATTTGAAATAACCTAATTGAACAACAACTTTAATAAAAGCCAGCAATATATCCCTTTGGTCGAGAGCACGGATTTTTTTTTTTTTTTCTTTTTTACAAGAAAAATAGTTGGTAGCTGGGACAGAGCTGTACCTCTGTTCCCTCAACTCAGTTTTTGTTGCATTCTTCACCAGTGACCTTTTTAAGTCCACAGGTAAGACATGTCTGTACTTAATTTTGAGTACACTTTTAGAGCCTAGCATTTCAGTGAGTATCTTTGTGAATCTAAGTCTCTCTGCCTCTCATTCCTTTTTGTTCCATGTCTGTATGTCTTTCTGTATACATCCATCTCCATTTTTCTCTTTTCTTACACCCACCATCTATTACTCCATTTATTAGGCAATGATAAGCTAATATAAGTTTCCAACCAGGTATAAGGTAGGACCAGCTATGAGCTTTAGGATGTTCATCCAGCAGTGGTGGACAGGACAAAGTAGGGTGGAAGAAAGCTAAAAGTACAGAGCAATGTTGGAGGCAACCCCAATACCTCAGGTGAGAGGAAGAAAGGTGCTAGACTAACCATAGTTGTGGCAGTGGAAATGACAGCACGAAAAATACATTAAAACTACTATAGAAGAAGCAAACTTGAGCTTCCCTGGTGGTCTAGTGGTTAAGAACCTACTTTGCAATGCAGGGAACATGGGTTCCATCCCTGGTCCAGGAAGATCCTACGTGCTCTGGAGCAACTAAGCCCGTGGACAGCTACTGAGCCAGTGCTCTAAAGCCCACAAGCTGCAATTACTGAGCCCATGTGCTGCAATCACTGAAGCCCGTGCTCCGAAACAAGAGAAGCCACCGCAATGAGAAGCCCAAGCACCGCAATGAAGAGCAGCCGCTGCTCACAGCAACTGCAGAAAGCCCATGCACAACAACAAAACCCAGCAGAGCCAAAAGCAGCTAAATAAATAAAAACAAAGGAAGAAGCAGCAACTCTCTGAGAGGCAGAAAGTAGAGTGAAAACTGCAAAATTCAGAGGTGTCTCAGGTTTCCAGCCCTGGTCCCTGGGAGAGCAGGGGGGTCCATGAACAAACCTTGTAAGTAAAAAAGTAAAGTAAGTAAGTGAGAAGTAAAACTTAGACTTCCCCGGTGGCTCAGTGGTAAAGAATCTGCCCGCCAATGCAGGGGACACAGGTTCGATCCCTGCTCCGGGAAGATTTCACACACTGAGGGGTAATTAAGCCCGTGTTCCACAACTACTGAGTCTCTGTGCTCTAGAGCCCGTGATCCACAAGAGAAGCCACAGCAATGAGAAGCCTATGCACTGCACCTAGAGAGTAGCCCCTATTTGTCACACTCGAGAAAGTCCACATGAAGTAACAAAGACCCAGCAGAGTCGAAAAAAGAGATCCCATATGCCACAACTAAGACCCAGTGCAGTCAAATAAATTAATAAAATTAAAAAAAAAAAAGAAGTAAAACTTACCATTGGAAGTAATAATAAATACTGAACATCAATAAATACAGAACATCCAAGATTATCAGTGAATAAGACAAAAAAGTTCATAGAATTTGCTCATTATTGGAGTTTTAATACCTGGATGATATGGCCCTGACTTCAGACTCATGTTCTAATGTAGATTCTCTGACTGCAATATGGGATACAAGAACCTTGTCTCTCTAAATCCATATCCGGTTCAAGGGTCTGGAACTGACCACAGCTTAAGACAACTTATGTTATCTGGGGATAAAAGACCTCAAAGAGTCCAAGAAAGTTGTGGAAGTTAAGATTTGGGGCAGCACTACCCTTTATTCCACAAATGTTTCTAGATACTCCTCAGCCTTATCCCTCATGACCATCAAGAATCCCACTGCTTCAGAGTGAACTTGATTCTATCTTTAACACAGCAGTGCCTTGGGACTGCTAGGGCCTTGCTTCTCCCTGATTTGTGATGTTTATCATGTCCGAGGTCCTGGAAAAACTTGTGATCCCACACAACAAAGAACAACTTCTTACCAAGCGGGGTTTTCGTTCTGGGCTTCTTTTTCTTAGGACGACTAACTGGAATATCATCTATAAAAGAGAAAGAACACCAGAAAAGGCTGCCTAAGAGTCAATGCAAGGAAGAGTCAAAAAGGAACTTTTAGTGGGGAAGACCTTTCCCTTCTCTTCCCTGGGTCCAGTCAACTTCTATACATTAGGGGAAGAAGGTGAGAAATTGCCAAAGTTAGAGGAAGCCCGTAGGGTAAACACAGGTAGCTCATGGCTGGTCAGTAAAGTTATAAACTGTGACAGAAAGTGGGCTCATCAAATATTCATCTGATCCCCTACATTTCCCAGCCCCTTTGCACTGGGGCCTATGACTGGTTCTGACCAAGAGGCTGTGAGCAGAAGTGTTCTGTGCCATTTGGGAGCCAAGACCTTGGAAGAGCCAGTGATCCTCCAGCTTCCCCATCCCTTGCTGTGGCAACTGAAGGGGCCTCACGTTAAGATGGCAGAACTGCAGCATGGAAGTAGCTGAGATCACTACATCATTAGTGAAGAGGGAGAGGAAGGTAACTGTCCTGGATTGTTCCTACAGTGGACTTTGCATTAACCAGAAAAATCCCTTATGATATGAAGTAACTGAGATTTGGGGGTTAGTGTGACATAACCCAGTCTACCCTGATGAAATGAGACAAAAGAAGATGTAGTCCCTATCACAGAACTATATGCAAGACCACAGTTATGTTCTAGGAGACTCCATTCAGGGATGAATGCTTTTTAACTTTTAAGGTCAAATATCAACATATAACTAGTGTCAATGGCAGTCATAGGAGATTAATATGATAAAAAAAATTGTGACATTATAAAGTATACCATTCAGATTCAAGTTTAAGGGAAAATTAAGGGGAAAAAAACTTTCAAACATCAAATACTGTATTTAGAAAATTTTACATTAACAGAAAACTAACTCACCTTGAATAGCACTTTACATGACACCACCAAATTTAATCAGGACAGAGACAAAAAGAGAAACTCTATTAATTAGAAATCTATTAAACTTTCAGACTGTAAATTGACTTGTATCATTACAAATTTAAAATAAAATTAGCTTCACAGAAAATCAGCTAGTTTACAAACTAGCTTATTATTTATAAGTAATAAGCTGTTTAATAAGACTAACAAAATAACCCCAATATTTTCTGAACCTATATTTACATACTCCCTGTCTATTAATAAAGTGGATTAAACAGATTAAGAACTCTCATGTTGTCACTGATTAAAATCAGCTTAAACTCTGAGGAAACTATTCTCGCAAACAAAAGAGGATCAGAATTCTGATCAACAAGTCATTAAAACATTCAAACGGACCCAGTATATACTACTAATATGTGGACCTTCAGACTTTGAAACAGAATGTTTAATCACAACTGTTATCTTAATGATTCAAGGATTTTTCATCTTTAAACTTGAGGAAGTCTTTTCTGAATTATTATAATTGTGCAATGGTACTAGTCAAATTTTTTCACTCTATTCATTTTGCATTTTTAAAACTAGATAATAAAATTACTGTAAATTATTTTTACCTTGGCACAGGTGGAAGGGCTCGTGGAGGACGCTATGGGAAAAAGACAGAAAATTGCTTGTAATTAAAGGCCTGGGAGCATCTTTACTTCATGTATTTCAAATTTTTGATAACACTGTTCATCAAATGAAACCCAAAAGATACAGATGAGAATAAGATGGGCAATTTTAATTTTTTCTATCACTTCTAAATTTCACATAAAATTCCTTCCTTCCTATATTCCTCACTATCTACATGCCAGGCACTGTTCTAAGCATTAGGGATACATTAATAAACAGAACCGAGAGATCCTTGCTTTTATGCAAATTACATCCTAATGGTTAAGTATTAGAAGATAACATTAAGCATATATATGCTTATATATATGAATGAAGAATGCTGCTTTAGTTAGGAAAAGTCTCTCTGAGGTATTTGAACTGAGACCTGAATAAGAAAGGAGCCAAAGGGGAGCAAATATAAAATCTTTTACTGGAGAGTGGGCTTGGAGAGTTTCAGGTAAAAGAAGGCCAATAAACGTGAAGCACGGTTATCAGGGCATGGGCAAATTATTTAGGAAGACGGACAGGAAGAACTTAGATTTTTCAATGGGAAGCCAATGGAGGTTTTAAGTCACAGAGTAAAATACTAACATTTATATAGTAACGTTTTTAAAAGGTTACTAACACAACATAGTAACCTTTTAAAAAGTATACTCGGAATACAACGTGAAACACCCAATTTAGGGCAGAAAGAAAAAAATTCTAAATGTAGTATAAATTTTCTACTTTACATGAACAAGAAAAGTGTTCACAACATTAATTGGCTATAGGCCAATATAAAATAACACGTTTTTAAAGAAGTGCTTGCAGGTCACAGAAATTACAGTTAAGTAGCACTCTGGAATCTTTCAAAATACTGACAAATATGTCTAGTAATCAGTTTAATATTCCAAGTATCTCTAGCTGCTTGCAGAAGACATTGATTTTGAAGGGTTAAATTTTAAACAACTCATTGCTGTGCCACAACTGTCCCATTTAGCTATCCATTCGTTCAAAGAGTGTGTTAATAAAAATGCTACAAGATTAAGACATGGCCGGCTGTCTTAGCACTATCCAGTAGTCAAAACCGAACTGGCAAAGGATAGGTACTGTTCATCAGTCTACAAAACGGTGTTGTTCTAAAGATGCTATGGACCGTGTTCTAACCAAAGACTCAGCTCAGAGGACAACTCCTTATTTCAAAAGTCCCGCAAAAATGACGTGTCATCCATCCAGAAACTCAACCTCTACGTTCCTCAAAAGTAGAACGGCTCAACTAAACTGAAAGTAACTAAGGCTCGCTTACCACCTGCTTCTTCCCCATTGCGTCTAAAACTGGGCCCTCCGGCGGCGCTGGCTCCCGCGCGCGGGTAACACACCCCTCCCGGGTTCACACCCGCTTGGCTGGCCGCGCGCGCAGGCGCAATGCGTCATCAAGCTGCGCCGCACAGGCGGTTCCGACGCCCAGCCTCCATGCAGCAGGGTGGGAGCTAGGGGGAGCACGGAGACCCGGTGTGGCTTTTCCGGGCTACTCTTGCGGGAAAGTGGGCGTTGAAGTCCGGGCCCCGCGGGGGGAGACTCCAGCGGGTGCGGGGTAGCAATCACGGTTTTTCCCATGGTTTCCCAAGTGGTTGCAGTGATTTGTTTGAGAGAAGTGAGAGAAGATCAGGATTAAAAGTCCCTGCTGGCAAACAAATCTCTTTCCTGGGCAGCTAAAATGCTCTCCGGGAGGAGTCGATACGAAGGGCCTCGCTGGCAGCCCCTGTACCCGCAGGGGCGGGGTCGAAGTGAGGCGTTGTCATGACAACACCCTCACTCCTACCCCCAGAAACTTCAGGCCTGGCTCTCCGCCCGGCTCTTGGAGTTCGGGTCCGGCCCTGGGAAGAACTTCTAGCCCCCGCTCCCAATCCCTATCCTGTGACCGCCGAAGGGGCGGATGCGCGAGCTTCCAGATCCGGGCTCGCCGCTTCTTGTCCCCAGCAGGTCGGCGTCGGCCCCGCCCCAGAGGCAGCGGCCGACACGCCCCTCAGCGCTCACCCGGTGGGCCTCCTCCACCCCGAGCCTGGAGTCGGCCCTCATGGCGCTCTGCCCGCCTGGACTCCCTCGGCGCAACTGCTGCCGGCGGGAGCCTGGTTCCCCGCGACGCTGCAGCCTTCGGGACCGGCGGGAGGCGGGGGCTCTGCGGTGCCGGACTAGGCCGCCGCCCCCGGGCCAGGTCTCCGCCCGCCTCCGCTTTGGCAGCCTTCGCGTTTCGAGGCTTTGGGGTTGAGAGACGCTAGCGTTTAGCCACCCGACCTAACGTTTAGGTTCGGGTATGAGTGAGTGAGTGTGTGTTGAAACAGGCAATTCTCAAATTTTCTCCAGTTACTTACCCTCCATCCAAAGACGCAGGACATAAAATCTGGGCTCACATAAGTGTTAAAAATGACAGTTTTCTTCGTTTTGTTTGGTTGGGTTTCTGAGAAAAATGCTTGGTCACTTTAAATTAAAAACTACAGATATTTCGAAGCATACACTCAGTTTGCTCAATAGTTAAGAAAGAGCAGATGGATGGCACGGATATGGGGAAAGTTAGGGAATGATCCAGTAGTCCTGTATGGATGTGAGAACTGGACCATAAAAGAAGGCTGCGCACCAAAGAATTGATGCTTTTTAACTGTGGTTTTGGAGAAGACTCTTGAGGGTCCCTTGGACTTGAAGGAGATCGAACCAGTCAGTCCTAAAGTATATCAATTCATTGAAAGGACTGATGCTGAAGTGGAAGCTGCAGTACTTTGGCCACCTGATGACAAGAGCAGACTGATTGGAAAAGACTGAGGGCAGGAGAAGGGGGCAACAAAGGATATAATGGTTGGATGGCATCACCGACTCAGTGGACACGAGTTTGAGGAAATTCCAGGAGATGGTGAAGGACAGGGAAACCTGGCAGTCCATGGGGTCCACATGACCGAGCGACTGAACAACACGGGAGTGATCCGGAAGGTGAACATATATAAGGGCAGGAAGAGCGACTGGAAGTCTCCGAGTTCGTGGAATAACATCCTCATCCCCTTGTTTTCTCAGATGTTTCTGTTTAGCACTAAAATTCATTGCTCTTTCCTAATTTAGGCATAAATGTAGATACTGGATTTGGGGGGAAGATTAATGATTGCTACAGCCCTGATCAAAAGAATAATTTTTCCTTGTAGTTTAGTGTGTAAAATGAGAGCAGTGCTGTTTCTCTAAGTTTTGGTGTTAGAGGTGATTTTTGTATTAATCCTTCCTTCTTGCAGTTAAACTGGGTACTTTTTGAAAAATCCATGTTTATAAAACAAGTTTCATAAGGCAAAATACAGTTTCTGAAGTTAAATAGAATGTATTTTATTTAGGAAAGCTCTTTTTTATCTGAATCACACAAAGGCCATGGGAAATCTATGAAAAGTCCTCATACTCAGTGACTTAACATTGTTCCCTAACAATTGCTGCATATAAGATAAAGGAAAACATTTTTTTGCCCTGAAATCCAAATAGATTACATAACCATACAAATTTCTTTCAAATAAGATGAACAAACTGCAGCACTTTTGCAGCTGCACATATTATAATAGAGCAAATATGACACTGATGTTTTAGATTATAGCTGTTTTTCCAGCTCTAGGGAACGGATGAACATTGTTAAAATTCCAGTATTAAGCATAAGGCCTCTTTAAGATTCCGTCTCAGAGGAAACCCATGTTGCTGGTACCCACTGAGACTCCTCCTGAGCCTTCTGAACTGCGGACAGCAACTGGGCACATGCATCTTGCAAGTTGTCATTCACAATCACATGATCAAAAAACTGGCCAAACTGAGTCTCCATTTTTTGGGCTAAATCCTCCATCTCTTGTAGATCTTCATCCTTTAGGAAAAATAGAAAAATACAAATAGCAAACTTAATGAGATGAATAGAAATAATAGGCAGTTATGCTGTTATACTCAGAACTGTAGGTGTTTATAAAAACAGGTCATGTAAATATTCTCCAGTCTAACCATAAAACTTATGTTTCTGTGTTTAGTCTTACTTAATGTCTCCCAGATCAAGTTTTCATAAAGTTGAGTTAATAGTTTGTAGACAACCAATCCTCTCAAATTCCTATTCGGACTTAAATTATCTTATTCTATTATCTAAACACTTGGAGCTCTCAAACCACATACAACATAAAACCAAAGAAATTTTATCAGTTAAATATAAATAAACATTAAACATAAATTTCAAATGAACATTAATCTGATAAGAATGACATTATTTTGCAGACACAAATGGCCACTTTCAACATGATGGTATGACATGGTTCTTCAAATGAGCCATTTCTAAATTACTCTTCATGATGACTGACTTCACCTATAATGTCTATTTCTACTGTTGTGAAATCATTTATTCAAGATCATTTGGCCTTCACTTGGCACTAATACATTAAATTCATTGCTATTATTTTCTTATTTGTCTACAATAATTAGTACAACTTGTCATAAATACAAATATAAACATGGGCACTGAGATCTTGTGGCAGTACTCGTTTACAAGGTGACCATACTCAAGACCTAGAAACAATTTTGTTAACTTTTCAGATTGCCATAAAACTGAGAACAGAATTTAATTAAGACTCAGAGAATATATACATAGACTCCACTGTCTGAAATGCAAACTGGAGAATCAAACTTCCATATAGTAGTCTTTGAAAAAATAATGAAGATAAAAATAATGAGAGGTAACGGATAATACAAAGATACCTTATGCTCACTTCAGCAACACATATATAAAATTGGAATGATGTAGAGATTAACATGGCCCCTACTCAAGGATGACATGCAAATTCATAAAGCAATCCATATATTTGTTTTACAAGATTAAAAAGTTCTGGAGATCTGCTTCACAATATGAAGAGAATTAACATTACTTAACTGTACACTTAAAATGGGTAAGACGGTAAGTCTTATGTTTTTTACCACACCACATAAACACACACACATGCGTGCATCACACACAAGTGGATATAACATCTTGATCTAGATGATGGTTACCTGGGTGCATACACCCTGTAAAAATTCTTTGAACGGTACACTTAAGATTTATACACCTTACTAAATGTATGTTATGACTTAAAATATTTAAAGTATATTTAATGAAAAATATACATATATATGGGAAAATTACTGATTAATCCCACCTGGCCTGGCCCCTCTATTATTGCCATAATTATTAATAAACATCTTTTATGTTTTAATATATTTATAAAGAGATCTCATATAATAGATGATATAATTAACTGGAATATTTTAAAGTAAATTCAAATACTTTGTAAAATAAATAATCCATTTTAAGTACACACACCCAATTTCTGTGTGGTTTTGCAAATTGTGACTTGAGGGCCTTTTCTTTTAAAGCTAGACCCAAAAAGAGGAGAAAAATAAGAGTATTTATTAAACTTTAATATCTATAAATGATACTTAATAAGGATAACTCATAAGGGTAGTATTCATGAGAAACAAAAATTACATTCTTTAACACAGGAATACTGTGGAATAATACAGTAATTTTTTGACTGGGAAAAAAAACAATATACTCATCTATCTCCTCTGTATCTTACCTTGAACTTCATGTCCACAAAGTAGTCTGTAATAATCTTGGCATTTTTCCGAGATCGCTTCATACAACTCATGTTAGATGGCTTTATAAATATGACATAGGGCTTCAGTTCTTGGGTTCGAGCCACTTGAATGCCCTACACAGGAAAATTAAATGCACATTTAAAACAGAGGTCCTTACAAGTGTATGTATGACTGAGTGCCTTCCTTGTCCATCTGCAACTACCACAACATTGTTAATCAGCTCTACCCTGATACAAAATAAGAAGTAAAGTTTGGGGAAAAAAATAATGAAGAAAAAAATGAGAAAAAAAGAAGTCCTAGTAGCTGAAATATCTTGAGAGAATATTAAATATAGGATCTAAAAACACAAGTCCTAATTTTCTAGAGTCAACATGAATGTTCTCAAAATTTCTAAGACCAGAAATTAGCAGTTATTTTCAGCCAGAGTATATTCTCATGTGCTCCCAAGTCCTCAACTGTAAAAAACATTTTAATAATTAAGAGATGGAGTTCTGGAATCAAAATTAAGGTCAAATCTTGGCTCTTCCTCATACTAGCCATGACACCCTTATTGAAACCTGAGAATAGGATTCTACACATGATCTCATGGGGAAAAGACAAAGACAGACTCTCCAGGCCAATCAGCTCCCTCACTTCCCTTTCCTCTTGCCATTGTCTCATAACAGATAATACTGACATCTTCATGCTGACCACAGCTTCGGTCCAAATGAGAACAACTCTCTTGTCCTCTGATTAGCACACAAGGTATTATTTTTACATGACTACAGAAAACATAAAGTAAACACAAGGTTTATAAAAATTTTGACAACACATTGTATGTTCTTTATCTCACCTTAACTCACTCACTCCTGCTCTATTCCACATATGGTCTCAGGGAGACAGCTATTGATATAATAACACAGGAACCTCATCTCCTTGCATAAAGCAACATTTTATTCCCTCCACAAGAAGTTACCTTGATGCCTTTGTAATCAAAGGCAAAGCAAGATTCTCAGTTGTTTTTTTTTTTAAAAAGATCCTCAGTTTTCTTTATGGCTGCCTGCTCATTTTGGGGGGTTTTTCGCTTTGTTTTTGTTTTTTTTTTAATTTTGTTTTTTATTTTATTTTCTGTTGTTGCTATTGTTTTTTTGGGAGGTGGTGGGAGAAGATCTGAGAAACTAGATTTTTTTTTTTTTTACCAACTAAAACGACAAGATAATGACAACTGATTTTTCAAGTAAGATCCTGGTCCTTCTATATGGGAAGTAGTCTTATCCTAACAGAATAAAGTGTCTTAACTACAGCTTAAAGCATGTGCAAAAACTGAATGGCATGCATTCATTACTTTAGGGAGATGGGAAGTATTGCACCACAGACCCACCTGAGGCTCTAGGTCCAAAACACAGATCTTCCCATCATCAAGGACTGCCTGAACAGCATCCACACTGGTGCCATACAAGTGGCCTCTGTACTCCCCATACTCCAGCATCCTGCAAGGGAG